ACACATTTTACCAAAATGTAGATACCCTCTCAAACAAAAGGCATACACCTATCTGTTTTAGTGCGGAAGGGAATAATTTGACTGTTTGTTATGTGACAAATTAGCATTTAGTCCATATCGTGGTAAAATGGTTTTAAAAAAACGTATTGTGTCGTTAAGTGACGTTCGTTGGAAAATAAAATTAGTGTTTAAAATAGCGGACGTGCTATATAGTTTTGCGTTGAACAGCTTTTTTTTTTGCAATTAATTAGCTTGGAAAAATATTTTAAACAAACCTACAAAATAGTTGTTCAAAAACGATAAATGAAATTGAATCCTTTTTGATTAAATTTCAATTTTATATCTTGGTAACGATTTGATGTTTGTTTTCGATGATTCAATACCTGCTATTTTTAATTCACATCTGTTTAATTGAGCTAGGAAACACAAACAGAAAGAAAATATATTATTTTTTATTGCTAAATAACTTAATCACAATGGACACATAATTTATAGGCCTTTTAGAAGGTTATGAGTTTGGTAAACTATGCTGGCTCGAAAGTTCTATACAAACTTATTTCAATATGATATTTTGCAAAAATAAAAATGTTAAAATTTCAATTATTCTAATTATTTTAAATCAATACTGATTGCAGAAATGCTGATGGCAGTTGTATAATCATAGTATAATGCTGATTAGATTAATATAAAACATTAATGACCGAAGTACAACGTTGTGAAAACGATAATTAAAATACTGATATGTATTCAACACAAGTAGGCTATTTACACACACAAAATCTTATTTACACACATGTTGTACACAGCTTGAGCTTAGTTGTTTAGCATCGTGAAAATAGTCACACGTTCTTCCGCCCATTTCTGTTGTGTTTATGGACAGTGCCTATGCAGAGGTCACGCAAGAAAGTGTATCTTGACCATTGCAATGTAAGGGCTAATAATTAGGTTTATTCAGAGTTCCCAAGCAACCCCCCCCCCCCCCCCCCGGAAGACACACAATACAATTTATATAGAAAATATTTAATTTTACCAGTGTCCGCCCCCCCCCCCCCCCCCGGAAATTTTAAGTGTCCCGTCCTCTTCCTCCCCCCCCCCCCCGAAGAAAACAAGTCTGGAAGAAACACTAGGTTTATTCATTAGGGTTTATATTACAAACCAATCGTCGATACATTAATTCTAGCAAATTAAATGTGCATTGAAGTAGTGACCTTATCAGCAAGTTACCAAAAAAAAAAATTAAGATAAAATATCTTAAATATTCAATTTCTTAAATACTGGTTTACAACTAAATTTATAAAGCCTATTAGTCTAACTTTCAATTAAATATGTGCTTTAAAGCTAAGTAGCCAGATCTAGAGGCTTACACTGCTAAAATTGATTTCAAAACTGATGAACAGCTAAAGACAATATTTTATGTAAAAATGAACTCCCACTACAGTGGTTTGACAATGTAATTATTCGTTGCTTGCTAAATACAAAATAAATACAAACTCTGTGTGACTTTTCACTGCCCCCCCCTCTCCCCTCCCCCTGAAAAAAACACCTTAAAAACGTGTGTTTATTAACATGAAAATAAAACCCAAAACAAAACACAAATGCAGCGGTACAGTATAGACCTCACGCCTTCAAATATCAAGTTTCAAAAGCTGCGAACTTGATTAAAATCCAAATGTCACATTTTAAGCTTAGAGGGTCATATAGCAGATTTTCCAATCACCAAGTCTTCTAAAATCCTTTAAAATAATAGGCTTGTTTTACACTTTTAAAAAATCATTATTTATCATTATATTAAAAGTTACATTCAAAATTGAATATTGCATTTTTAAAATACAATATCCAATGACGTTGGATTGAATATGTTGTGGTTTTGATTGTGGCTGTGATTCAGTCCATATCAAAATAAGAGCCCATTAGCCAAGGCAGTATTTTTGTCCAATGAACTCACTGAGTGATAGTCATGCCCGGGCCCGCCCAGAATACCGGAGAACGGGCCGTGTAAAGATGGCGGAGGTGCATTGTGGGAGTGGTTTTGTTTACTTAAGCCTTGAGGGTTTTGTGAGACTGGAGAGTTCCATTTTGATTCGTGACTACCATGGACTTGATCTGGGGGGAAAAAAAGTTAAAATAAAGTTAAAACAATACTTAAAAACGGCAAAATTATTTAAAAACTTAAAGATAGGATTAACGAAATCTGGATCTAGCGCTAAAAATAACGTGAGATTAGAGCTTAACGTTAGAGAAAAAAAGCACGTTGGAACACACACTCACACATATGCATATATATATATATATATATATATATATATATATATATATATATATATATATATATATATATATATATATATATATATATATATATATATATATATATATATATATATATATATATATATATATATAGCCCCTATGTCTAAGTGTGCCTGTGTGTGTGTAGAAAACAATCGAAATCTCTCCATCATGACAAAATCACGCCCCTAACAACTACACATATACAGCTCTTACTACATTATACTACTATTATTACCGACGATTTGCTCTACCACTGCCACCCCTCTGTTCCACTACCCTTCACCTATCACTGCCATTACTAACTAAAATATGGAATCTTTAACAAAACAAAAATCTTACTGTGTGAGTGTGAGTCATCGTTCTGAGCGATGGATTTCACTTTCTCCTTGTTGCTGATGTTATTGTTATTGTTCGCCGACGCGGAGTTATTGTTGTTGCTGTTGTTGTTGTTGCTGTTGTTGTTGTTGCTGCTGCTGTTGTTATTGTTGCTGCCGCCGCTGTTGCTGCTGGGCTCCTGTTTGACAGAGGACGATCCAGAATTGGAGTTGCTCTGGGATTGTTGCTTCATCCTTTCCATTTTCCTGAATTTCGCTCGCCTATTTTGAAACCAAACCTAAAGGGAGATAATAAAAAACAACCCAAAGTTAATTAAAATTCGGCTTTTTTTTTTAAATTAAAAAAAAAATTCTGAACAAAAATTATTTATTAAATATTTTACAGCTTTGATTTTTCTGTTCTTGTGGATCTTTAATTTTGTTTCGCATAATTTTAACTGACTTTAATTAAATTTAAATTATCTTTTTTTCTTCTTCATAGAGCGTTGCCTCATGTTTTATTTTTTTTAAAATACCGTTTTAATAACACTTTTTAAAGCACGAATTTTAAGGCAGCCAACAATGTTGTTACTGGCGGTCGCGTCGGGTCACATATTATATTTTCATTATATTTTCATTATATTTTTATTATATTTTCATTATATTTTCATTATATTTTCATTATATTTTCATTATATTTTCATTATATTTTCATTATATTTTCATTATATTTTCATTATATTTTCATTATATTTTCATTATATTTTCATTATATTTTCATTAATCTACTTTAGAAAAGCGGACAACCACTCACAATTCGACTGCCATCATCAACTCAAACTATGCCATGTACTCTTCCAAACTTTACTTAGAAGTTTATAAAACGCCAGTCGAGTTGTTTTGTTACTTGTTTATACAATTCATGAGTTGGTTATTTCTATATTGTTTTTTTTTATAACACACCCAGCAACACATATCAAAGTTTTCTCTTGCTGGGTTTTGCTATCCTAACCCATATATTGGTTTTTAAACCAAGCTCTCACTCCCTTACTCTAGCAGTAACCTTAACCCTGATCTTAGCCCTGAATCTAACTCCACGCCTAGCCGTAACCTTGGACAGCAGGAAAGAGATACACCTAGATACGACACTATATGGCCCTGTCTGTGACAACGCAGATTTCACTATATTTGTATGGGCTAATCTACAAGCAACATTCCCCTCAACAAACAAAAAACTGAATCGACTTTTAAAAATAAAATTAATCTGTTATACCAATAATGAAACTACAGCGTGGTATTTTCAGAATACTGCACATCCGCACTTTCTAGAGGGACAGTAGTCTACAGTGGTGGACTGGCTGTGTCGGAGAGGCCAGGGACATTTTAAAACGGGCCCCCAACACCAGATTGCAATATTCATTGTGCATTTTTTTCTCCGTCAAAATCTGAATTGTACGCCTTGGTATGAGGGAATGGTATCATAGAGAAATCCCAACAAATTATTTATTTTAAACCAAAGCACTAATAGGAGTATTACAGTACTCTTTCTGGGGGGCCCACAGAGATTATTTTCTAGCGACCCACCGAGATTTTTTCCTAGGGGCCCACCGGGATCTTTTTCCTAGGGGCCCACCGGGATCTTTTTCCCAGGGGCCCACCGGTATCTTTTCCTAGGGGCCCACCGAGATCTTTTTCCGAAATTATTTCATTGGTGCCTCCAGGATATTTCCCCTTGGGTCCCACCTGTATTTTTCCCGGTAGACCGGCGGCCCAGTCCAGGCCTGGATGTCTAGATGTGTAACACATTACCTGAACTCTTGCTTCCGTGAGGTCCGTCTTCATGGCGATCTCCTCCCTCGTGTAGATATCGGGGTAGTGAGTTTCAGCAAAGGCCTTCTCGAGTTCTTTAAGCTGGGCACTGGTGAACGTCGTCCTGATTCGTCGCTGTTTTCTCTTCTCCGGGCTGACGGAACTGTCGTGACTGTGTTGGTACATCTTGTAGGGGAGTCCTGAAGATTAATTAGTTGCAGTGTTAGCATTTTATTTTACACTATTTGTATACTTTTTTTGCCGGATGGGGTGGTGTGGTCACGATTTAACATTAGCACAAAAGAACATACAGTTGTGTGTAGTTTGTAGTTTTAGTTTTTTTAGAAAGGTAAGTAGACAATAAATGTCATTTAAAAACAAACAAACGAAAATGGCAGTTTTTCTTCTTTTTGTTAACTTAATATATTTTATCAAATAGAAAACGACAACTTTAAGCATAATGTGAACTATGATAGAAAATAATGAAAAATAATGTGAAAAAGTGCTATTAGCCAACAGAATATTTTTTAGCCTACTTTGGTCAACTGCCCATTTTCACCTTTGTCCTGAAACAGTCGTTTGTAAAGGGTCATTCAATATATTGTCGCTGATCAGTGGCGTAGCCAGGATCGTCTCAAGGGGGGGGGGTTCCAATTTTTACCCGGGGACAAACTTTTGATTTGCACCCCCCCTCAAACTTTTGATTTGCACCCTCCCCTCCCCCCCCCCCTCAAACTTTCGATTTGCACCCCCCCCCCTCAAACTTTTGATTTGCACCCCCCTCATACTTTTTATATATACCGAGGGGTCTATGGGGGGTTATGACCTCCCCCCCCCCCTACCCCCCCCCCCGCATACGCCACTGTCGCTGATACAAGCTTTAGAAAAGTTAAACTAAGGATCTTTCTTTAAATAATAAAAAGCTTTATTCTTTATTCATGGGTGTTTTAAACAGATCTAATTTTAATTAGAAAAAGGCAGGTAGATGCAATAATTAAAAGACGTATAAAATCCTTAGATTAAAAAACCATATAAAACATTTACTAGAATCGGAAAAAAGGTGGATGAGAGTACAAATGTGTTTTGATTATTCAGATGACAACAATATACACTCACAAAAAAAAGCTAGACAAAAATCTACATTCGGTAAGTTCATGAATGTATTTGCCATCTCTAAAAGGATCGCGCTTGACGCTTAGCATTTGTCAATACGGGCCGCGCGGTTCCTTGGAGTCGGTGGTGGAGTCACTAGGTGGGGGCAGAGATGGGCAGAGTCGATAGATCATAATAATATCATCTTTACTTTACACGTATATACACCGTGCTGATATAAGGAAGGGGTCGGGCGCAAAAAAATTCCGGCATAGAATTACGAATTAATGAATTAATGTAAATCTATCAAAAAATATTTTTTAAAAAAAACGTAACACTGGCATTTTAACATTTCAAAGCTTATATATAGTATCATTATGTTATTTCTTAATAATGTGGTGTTGCAGATTTCGAAGGTTGTATTGTATCATTATGTTATTCTTCATTAATGTGGTAATACAGATTTCAAACTTAATAGTATGGTATTATTTTATTTCGTAATATTGTCACATTGCATATTTCAAAGGTAATATTTATCATGTTATTTTATTTATCAATAAAGTTGTAGCATTTTCAAACACAAGCAATCCGTGTTTCTTCCAGACTTTTTTCTCCGGGGGGGGGGGGGGGGGGCACTTGATATTTTCGAGGGGGGGGGGGCGGTCAACATTTTTCGGGGGGACGGACACTAGTAAAAGTGTATGTTCACTATATAAATTTCATCTCGTTCGGGGGGGGGGGGCTGTAGAATTTCTTCGGGGGGGGGGGGGGCTCAGCCCCCCCCCCGAAGAGATGCCTGGAAGAAACTCTGCATGCAATACATAGTTTATATGAAAACAGAGTTTAAAAAAAACAAAGAAACAAGTTTGAAACTATACATGAATGTTTTACAGATCTGTTTTTTTTTCTATTTAAAATCATTTTTAAAATGTCACTGCTTTTTTCTATTTCTGTAAAATTTGAAACAAAAATTACATACAGCTAAATTCTAATTTCTTATTTTTAAATCAAAATGAATCTCATGATGCAATCAAGACGAGGTCTGACGCAGGCCAAGACTCGACTCTTCAGACGCAATTAATGAGGTTCGCAACTCGACTTGATTCGGGTTAAAAAAAATATTAACATAACAGGAGTGTCTAGGATTGAGATGATTGTTTGTATGGCGAGAACGTCTGGGTTCGACAATTATTTACAGTGAGGAAATATTTCATACAGCGTTTATTTACACAACAGAAAAAAATCCTAAGTTTGCATGTATGAACGTACTTCCATTGCCAGATAAAAATTATAATTGTAAGCCATGTTTTCAATGTATTAAAAAAATATTTATTATATTTTTTGCAGCCATTCAAAAACATGAAATTAGTCTCTTTATGAGACAAATATTATGATTTATAAATAGGAAATCTTGATCTACAAGTTATTTACAATTTAATTTTAGATTGAATATTAAAATAATTATGCACATTTTTATCTAGTTTGGAGAATTAAAAATATTCATACATATGTTATTTTTTAAAATGTTATAAATATATTTAACAAGCATATTTTTAAAAAATATATTAATTTTATTTAAAATAAATTTTCTATTAAGAAATGTCGCCCCTATTATAATTAATAAATATACAGTGTTCGCCCGCTTATTTATTGTGTTATTTACGGTAACACGATTGCTAAACAAATCGGTGACAAAAACATGAAAGATTTATGCTTTCATTTACACAATTTACATTTCCCATCAGCATCTTTATTTGACAAGCATTCCACAGGGTCAAAAATTGCAGCCTCCTTATGCTTCCGGTTCATAAATTTGCCTTTCTCACACACACAAATAGCCTGAGCTGATTTTTTTGTTTCCTCTTCCAAATCATAAGCGGCCTCTTTATTTATCAAAGCATGACAGTAATTGCAAGGAATTGTTGTCGGCGTAATAAAGTTGTTAAGATCTTCTCTCGAGGGGTCAACTTCTTGTATAAAACATGGCCCGTTGAAACAGGCCGTTACAGTCTATTAAATTACATATATCTCTTGGAAATGAGGTGTCCACAACCTGGGACGGTCGGAGATCAAATCCGGCTGGGAAAAAAATCTAAAATAGGAAAATCTCGTCTTAGATAAGGCTTTTAAATTTGAATTGATTTTAAATTTTAAGGGGAACATTTTTTTATCTTTCAATGAAAATGAATTTTCTTACAAACAAAAAAAAACAAAAAAAAAAAACATTTTCTTGACGTGTTTTGACAGACAACTGAATATTTCGTAATCCTAATTATAGTTTTCTAATGTGTAAAGAACACCCGTGTAGTAACCAGAAATTATTGGGTTCAGATCACGGATGCGAGTTCACTTAGATGTAGTTGGTACCTGACTCGATTAAGAGAAAATAAATACACTGGGTAAAATGCCGATCACACCGTCCCCTTTTAAGTCAGTCTTGAGAATCAGACATATTTGCCCTTGTACCTAAGTCAGAGAATCAGACATATTTGCCCCTTTGTACCTAAGTCAGAGAATCAGACATATTTGCCCCTTTGTACCAAGTCTAAAAGCTTACATCGACACAACTTTTGGTAAAGATGGTTGTAGGCTTTAGGTTTATCGGACATCGGTAGTCTTGATACACACATGACAGAAAAGATTCAACAAGTACTGTAGCCATAGAGCGCTTGACTGTTAACCAGAAAGTCTAGAGTTTGAATCCAGGTTCAAGTCAGTAGAAGGTCCCTGAGTTAACCCAGCTCCGATGTGTATGTCAGAGAAAGTAACGCCATGGCATAGTGCTGACCACACTATCCTCTCATTTGCCGAGGTCACGGTGAACTCTATTTCACTTGTCCCATGGACCGTCAGGTTCGAAAAGGGAACTTTACTCTTACTTCTCCAAACCTAACAACGACTCTAGTTTTAGCTTTAGATCAGACCCTAACCTCACAGGTTCGAAAGGGTAACGTTTTTCTTTTTTACTTTTTTAGATTTTTAAACCATAAAATGTATTAAAGCAATAAAAAATTGAAACCGTTTATTTTTTTACAAAACAACCCGGATACACCCCCCATCACCGACGTTAATCTTTGTCGAAATATTTTTACACGCTCAATGCCCTCCCCCCTCCTTCTCTCTCCTCAACCTGTCCAAGTTGTCCTTTCATTCTCTCCCACCCCCCCCCTTTTCCCCTTCCCCCTCTTGTTTCTGCAGCTCCCCTTATGTTTAAAGAAAACACCGACGCGACATCGCAACTCCAGCCCTTATTTGAATACTGTCAACACTTTCCTCCATCCCACCCTCTGGCGTAAGACTATCCCACGACAGTAGGCTAGGCTACCCCCGGGCTGTAGGTTTAGCTCCTGGGGGCGTGAAATCAAACTGACAGCATTAAAAACAAAACTAAGCGCCCACTTGCACATGGGTAACTTCAAGGCAAGTCAAGAAAGATCTGCGTCTTAAAAAAAAAACAATTTAAAAATAGGCTCTTCTTAGTTTAAAATTCAGATCTTTTTTATAAATCTCTTGATACTTTAACGGAAGTATCTACTTTTCAAAAATACAAATAATTGCATCTACTGAAATTACATGTCTTAGAATATGTATTAGGCCCCCACATTGATAGATTGTTGTAAATATTTTTACTAGATAAGTGCAGCTCACTTTAAATAGTTCTAAAACTTCGCACAAAGCTATTTACAGTAGTATGTACTTGCACCATGAATACGAAGTGCGATTCAATAGCCTGACGAGACCAGTACATGTTTTAATTCAAAATCAAACAGCATTGTGAAAATGTACGTTAAATTTACTTTATGTTTCTATTTCGTTGTTTGTACCGATCGAGATCGATGTTTCACACGTGACTTACATTTGCAAGGAGATGAAAAACCATCCGGTCTACAATATAAAACAGCTACAATAATACAACATTAACCATATATATATATATATATATATATATATATATATATATATATATATATATATATATATATATATATATATATATATATATATATATATATATATATATATATATATGAGATGTTACAATATATATTTATATATCAACTTATTTTAAAACTGAACCATATAGGAAGTGTATGTGTAGTGCTAGAAT